GACGCCCACTGGGTCCCGACCGGACATCTCTCGGCGCCAACCAGGGAGCGCCAGCAGGCGTCGCCGGCCAAGCCAGCAGCGAAGGGGGGCAAACCCCCGCTGGCGAAGCCGATCGCAGGGAGAGCGGTCGCACGCGCCATGAGGGATGGCACCGTGCTATGCCAAGCTTTCCAACATGGGCAATGCAAGGCGGGGCAGTCATGCCCCAACGGCCAGCACAGGTGCGCTGCGATCCTCAGGGGCGACCGAGTCTGCGGGATGCAGAATCACGGAGCCAAGGAGTGTCGGGCGGCGAAGAAGTCTTGAGGGTGCCCTGGGGGGGAGGGGGACTCCCCCATAGGGTCAGAACTCTCGCACCCCCACACCGGATCCCAGGACACCGGCCCGTTGATGGTCGACCTCATGTGTGGTCCCAACATGCCCCTGGCGAAGGCGTTTTTGTTTTGTGGCTGGAGGGTGCTGCCCATCGACTGGTCGCTGGACCCGGGGCACGACCTGTCTAACCCGGTGAGGCAACAAGCACTGGAGGAACCGATGCGGCCAGCAGCCTTCACAGCAGCAGCCCTGGACTGCTCCACGAAATCCAGGGCCAGGGAGATCCCCACAATCTTTGCGGACGGCCGCCCAGGTCCCAAACCGCTGCGTTCTGAGGCACACCCAGAAGGTTTGCCCGGGCTTGACCCCAAGAACCAAAGGCGGGTGGACGTGGACAATGCGGCATGTTCCTGGATCCTGAAGCAGCTCCAGGCTATAGCAGACGATGGCAGAGGGGCCCTGCGGGAGAACCCGGCTCGAAGCCTCCATTGGTCCCTACCGCAGGAGGAGACCATGATGGAGTCCGGCCTCTGGTACGATACAACGTACTCGGCATGCGTTTTCATGTCAGCGCGTTGCAAGCACCAGCGGCTGCGGCACAACAGAGTGCCACCACCAGCATGCAGCCTGGGAGTGGGATCCTTGGGAGGACACCCAGGGGCGACACCAGTTCCCATCCAAGGAGGAGGCGGAGTATTCAGCCACCCTGGCCTTCGCAATTGCGGTCTCGGTCAGTTGGTGGGCGGTCCGAGAAGGGCATGCCCGTCTCCACGTGCCTCGGATGCCGCCGCTGGAAGCGTGTGGCCGAAGGCAACACTGGCTGGACATCGATCCCAGAGCTATGCGTAGCTGGGCCATGACCCCACTGGCCATCACACTCGGTTTGCCACCACTGCATCCCGAGGAGCGGGCACGGCTGCCCACGGTGGTACGAGTGGCGGACGTGCTTGCAGATGGTAAGCTGCCCCCGGACGTGGTTTACGTGGGTCAGGGCCACCACTCCCACCGGGTCCCACGGTCTCAGTGGGCATCACCGTTCGTGCAGGGGCACACCTGTACGACGGACGACTGGCTGCCGCTCTACGTGGACTTCGTCCTCGCCAATTTGCAGGCGGAGCTGCCTGCGCTGCAAGGCAAACGGCTGGCATGCGATTGCGGCCCGGACGGTGTCTGCGAGGCAGATGCGCTGGCTGGGATGGTCTTTGATGCGACCCATCCGGATGCCGAGGCCAGCCTGCCCAGAGTCACTGGGCGGCGGCACAGGCAGGCCAGGGGCTCTGTGGTCAGGGCGGCGACCATCATGGGCTCGCTCCGAGGCAGTGACGCCCTGCAGTCGCTCTGGTTTCCGCAGGAGGATGTCATTTTGGCCTTTCGCAAGCTCTACCCGGCAGAGTGGTTCCAATCTTTTCAGTGGCCCATGTTGGAGGACCTGTTGAACAAGGAACCCTTTACATGCTACCTAGACTGGCGCCAGAGTCGTGGGATGGAGTGGGACGGACCCCTGGGGCCGCCCTCTTCGTCCAACGCTAGTCGGAGGCGGCAGCGGTTGGCAGAGGGGAAGCAGCATGGAGCCTACAACCACAAGGCCTCCATTCCACCTCTGGTCGGGTATGGGCTGGAGCCGGACGCCCATTTCGCCGCATCCCTGGTGGACCAACACGGCAACCCCGTTGGAAGTCCTTCCTACGTTGGACGACGACCTGTGGTACGCGGCCAGCATGGTGATGGAGAATCACGACCTAAAGAGACGCCGCCAGGCGTCCATCGGGGCCATCAAGGAACTGAAGCGCAGGTGGGCGCCGGTGTCCAAGCACCTCGTGGCCTTCCAGTCCGAAGCCATCCGAGGAGTTACCTCGAAACGCGATCTGGGTTTGCTGGGGCTCTTCGTCGTCCTCATGCAGTGGGGCGACTTCGCCCTCCCTCACGGCTTCATCAAAGGCCTTCCAGCAGTGGGCTATGCCCCTCATTACGGAGTCTTCCCCCACCAGCCCGTCGAGGCGATCGCCCACTCGGAGGTACTGGCTGGTTGGGAGGAGCACAACGCCGCCACCATCGCAGGAGTGCGGCCGGGTTCCACGGACTCCTTCGTTCTTGAGCAGTCCACAAAGGACCACAAGGAGGGGTTTTGCACCCCCCCCATGAACCTGAGCCAGCTCAAGCGGTATGCCAAAGGAGATCCATACCGGCTCATACCTCGCTGTGTCATAACACAGGCGTCTGGCAAGCAGCGTCTGATAGACGACGCAGCACGGGGCGGGCAGTCTGCATCGTCCAGAGATGCCAACAAACTTGTTTTGTGTACGCCGCTCCGCCCAGCGCTCCACGTCCAAGCTGCGGCAGCCTGCCTTCAGGAGTGCACCTGGGAGCGGTTCGCGCAGCAGGGGCAGTGGACGGGAGCTGGAGATGATTGGCCGAATGCCTACCGCCACTGTCCCATGTCACGACAGGAGGCCCTGGCCTGCGTAGTAGTTTGGTACCACCAAGAATGGCAGGAGCCGGCCTTCCAGGTGTACCACGCCCTCTTGTTCGGCCTTCCGTTAGCGGTCACCTCCTTCAACCGCTACTCCCGGATGGCGGAAGCCATGGGCAGGCGCTTTCTGGCAATTATGGTGTCCATGTATTTCGACGACAGTCACATTACAGACCGCGCAGTACACGGCCCATCAGCCCAGTGGAGTTTCGGCGCCCTCAACGACCTGCTGGGCACCCCGTTCGCTGAGGAGAAGCGCCAGGGAGCTGCGGATGTCGGTACCTTCTTGGGGCTTGATTTCGATCTCTCGGAGGTCCACACACATGGGCGCGCGCGGTTTTGGGTTCGAGAGCGACTCGAACAGAAGGTGCTCACCTTCATGCGTGAAGCCAGGAAGAGCGGGAAGTTCACCCCGGGTCAAGCTGCGAAACTCTACGGCATGGTCAACTTCCTGGAGCATGGCCTCTTCGGGCGCATTGGCTTGGGCGAAATCCAGGCGTTGAAGGAGCACCAGTACGGGGGCTCCAGCAAAGCCAACGCCAGCCTCTTGGCGGCTTTTGACGTGTTGGAGGCTATCATCAGTATGCGCCCCAAAAGAGAGCTGATGGTCCTCCCCATGGTTGTGCCGAGGGTGGTAGCTGCCTCGGACGCGGCTTTGGAGGCACCTCGTCAAGGATCCGGCGGATACCACTTGGTCTTCCAGGACGGTGGCGTGCAGATTCGCGAGGCCTTTGTAGCCATCATCCCCGCGCAGACCTATGACATGTGGGGACCAGGAGACCATAAAATAGCCCAGTTGGAGCTGTTCATGGTGGTGCACGCCCTTACGGCGAGACCCGACCAATTCCGCGGGAGACGCGGAGTGTGGTTCATCGATAACATCGCCAGTCTTATGTGTTTGATCAGGGGCAGGAGTGACAACCCCGACTTGGCCAAGATGGCGACGTATATTCAGTGTTTGCTCTTTGCGTTGCGAGCCTCACTCTACTGGGAATACATTCCATCCAAATCCAATTGGGCTGACGCGATCAGCCGATTAGGACCCAGTGACCCATGGTACAGGGCCAACCACTTCAAGTTGAATTTCAGTCTTTTCCCTCCAGCTCTACTGAGGCTTCCGTACCGAGCAGTGATTACCTTTGCTGAGTTCCTGTGAGTGCATTGGGAGAGTTTGTGAAAGAGGTCGTGAAAGTAAGTGCGTTGGGAGATGTATCCTGCTTGATGCAGGGCATCCAGAGCTTATCGGGGGTAAACCCGATGTGCCGAGGAAATCGGCGAATTGGCTGGGCCACAGCATGAGGAAATTCATGCTGTGGATACCAATGCAAATCCCACAGGAAAAGGTGGGTTGTCAGTCTATCAGACTTGTGTCGCATCGCTGGAGTGAAAACGCTGCGGTGCTGTTTATGTCAAACCTCCTTGGGAATGTAATCCTGTATCAGGTTGGAAGGCTTCATTCTGCAAGGAGTGTGTTGGATCATGCGGGGCCTTTTGGCTCAAGCATGATCCAAACTGGCTAAATTTTAACCCCACCCTATCCCGCCCTAGATCACCGGCCCCCCTAGTTGGGACGTCCGTGATCTTTGAAGAGCGCGCTGCGCTTGGGGAATGCCTGGGGGACCAGGCCCCCAGTCAGTCAGTTAGCTCTGTGGTGGGAGATGTATCCTGCTTGATGCAGGGCATCCAGAGCTTATCGGGGGTAAACCCGATGTGCCGAGGAAATCGGCGAATTGGCTGGGCCACAGCATGAGGAAATTCATGCTGTGGATACCAATGCAAATCCCACAGGAAAAGGTGGGTTGTCAGTCTATCAGACTTGTGTCGCATCGCTGGAGTGAAAACGCTGCGGTGCTGTTTATGTCAAACCTCCTTGGGAATGAAAAAAACATGTTTCCAAATATACCCTGAAATGAAGCCAAAGTGGGCAATCGGAGTACGGGGTTGAGTTTTTGCCTTCTGAAGAAGGTGGCCTCCAACTCGTCTTGGCCGAAGAGCAAGACCTGAGGCTGTAAACCGAATTGGCATATGTTCTCCTCGCTTCTTTTGCCTATTGGGTGAAACCCCTTGAACCTGTGGTCCTTCCTGTTCAAAAGGAGAGTCTGCAAAAGCTCCCAATAAAGGCTCATCCTCCTTTGGCTTCCTGCAGCAACTCCTAAGACGTGTTTTTCCGAGTTCGGGATCAGAGAATCTCTGAGGGAGCGCACCACTCAGCCAGGACGGCTCGATGCGCTTCTTCGACTACCGGGAGGACAGCCCCCGTTCTCAAGACAACGTACACCCTAGCAGCTTCTGGGGGACAAAAACAGCAGGTTTGATGTTTCCCAAATTCTCCCCAGTTTTCAGTTTAGGTGTGTCACTGGCATGTTCTTGGCTGCTCCTTTGGAAAGCGGCCCGGGTTGCTTCCTTTGGGCCTCCCTTCACAACCCAAAAACCGCCAACGGAGCTTCCCGAAAGAAAATGAGCTGCCCATATTTGTTCCCAAGGAACTGCATGTTCACTTTTATTTTTGGAGCTTTGACCATTTTCAGACACGTGAAACCTGTTTGTATCGTTTCTCGGCAGGGCTTGGCTGCCCAGTTTTCTTGGATGCTCCTTCTTTGAAGCCAAACAATTCCTGGCGAGCACATGAACCCCCAGGGCTGTGTGCGTGATCCGCAGGATAGGGAGGCGGGCGAGGCCGTGTTCCTCCATCTCTACGACCTCAACGGCACCTTCGCGCACATGAACTCAGTGACTTGGCTCGTGCAGTAGACTGGGTTTGTGGCCATTCCTTTTTGCCAGCGATGGTGTTTTGGGTCAATCCGCCGATCCAGGGGAAACACGCCTGTGAGCCAGAAGTCCCCGTGATTTACCAGAAGGATATCTGGAAGTCCTGACGCAAGTTGCGTGCGTGGGTGGGAGGGTGGGTGGGTGGGTGGGGGGGTGGTGGGTGGGTGGGTGGGGGGGTGGTGGGTGGGGGTGGTGGGTGTGTGTGTGTGTCTCTGTGTGTTTGGTTGTTTGGTTGCTTCTTTGTTTGTTTGTTTGTTTGTTTGTTTGTTTGTTTGTTTGTGTGTTTGTTTGACAGACCTGTTTCGGCCAACAAGCCGTGCCCGTGCTCGTGTTTGAAAGATTTACCATCCTTTTTACAATTGTGTTTGCACGAGATGTTTGGATGCACCTCTGAGAGTCCAGCTAACCTGATAAGTAACATGGAACATTCAGGATACAAGTTCGTAGTATAATCTGGGTGACCCCTTGTTTCGGTTGCGTCGTGGCCATGAGCTTCAAGGGAGCACCCTGCAAAATGGCAGATGGACAGAACCCCATGATGAGGATGTCCACCAAAGGCTTCCTGATGAAGATTCATACCCGAATGAGAAGTTTGAGATTACCAGTGGTTGGGCTTGGCAGGGGAAATTCTGGGGTCTCCTCCAAAACCCTTTTTAAAGGCAAATTACATTACATACCGTGGATGGACGAAATTCTGCACCACCTAAGACACTATAGAATGATGATTCCCCCTTCACATACCAACAAACAATGGTTTCCCCTGGTTTGAAAGTGGTGCGGTCACGGATTGCGCAGCCATCCACCGAATTGTATAATTTTGCGCCCCAAACAAATTTGGGCCAAGGACACAGGGCAAAAAACGCCGGCGGACAGTTTTTGGCAGGTCTCCTTGGATCTGCTGGGCATCGGTGGTGCTCTGCACGTGGGGGTGGAGGCTGAAACCGGCCGAAGCTCGAGTCATTGTCCCGAAGGTTAAATGGTTTTCCAGGCTGCAAAGAGGAACCAGAGAAAATCCTCTGTGTGTGTGTGTGCGTGCGCGAGAGCGCGCGTGTGCGTGCTCTTTTGTTTGCGTGTCCTTTTCGAGGATTCACTTTTCAGGTTTGGCTTAGTTGTAGGGACGAGGCTTAGAGTTGTGTGAAAGTTGAACGTGCAATCTACGTCGTTCCCCAACAGCCCAAAGTTAGCGGCTCCCGGCTAAGATTCTGGAAGGGTCCCGGAAGGTTTCCAGGGTTCGCATGATCAAATTTAGAGCTCAGTTGAAGAAGGTATCAATCGACCAAGAAGGCATCCAAAAAACAGGGCATCCTTGCAACCAAGTGACCTGGCATCTAGATGTATCAAACAATAACAGCCCTAGTTGCTTCTGGACGAGGCTTCGGGCAAAGGTCCTTCCCACATTCCCGAATATTTTTTTTCGTACCCCTTCCACCAACAGAAGGCGCGTTTACCAGGGTCTCTTGAAGCAAGACGTAAACCCTGATGCATGTTGGGTCAATCTTGCGGTGAAGACGTTCATCAACGGGCTGCAGGACACAGACGCTCGCATGACGAAGGTCCTTTCGGACCCCGAGCTCCCCAAAAACCGACGGCAAGCCATAGGGGAAGGCCGTTTGATCTGCTTGGAACCCACAAGCAGGGGGAGCCCCGGAGCCCTTTTTGCGGTTTTGAAAAGGAATCACCGGCTGACAATGACTTTCTGACCGGGGCTTGTGACGCCGAACAGTCTGTGGCTGTGGGTATCACCCAGACGAGCAACCGACAATATTACCAGAAACCGAAAGGATATACCTGAGAGCAATCAACCGGCAAAACGGATGGGGATCCACCCAAAACCACTACGGTGGATTTTAAGTATTGCAAGTTGTGGTTGGTTTACTTGCAATATTTGGGGCATCCAGCCTACTCCGCTAATATTGTCCGTGCTCGGATGATTCCCCCATTCAGATCCTGTCAGTTCGCCATTCGTCCAGGTGCTGGGGAACGAGTGGAGCTTCGGAATGCAGGCAGGCGAGACGTACATCGGGTCGGAAAATGGGCTTGTCAAATGGGTTGGAAATGCTGCATGGCTCCCCTGCAAATGAACATGGCACCCAAAGGACCCTCCATTTGAGATTCCTGCAGGAGAGGAATGATTTTGTTCCCCCAGTTGTTAAGTTCGAAGGACGAGGTTTGTTGTGTTGGCAGACTTCATGGCACCAGCCAAGCTCCCTTTGAGAAGCACACATTCATGTCCACCACCTACCTCTTTTGTGGGGGTTCCTGATTAAGATTCATAGCCTTAGGCCCTATAGGTCCAGCGGAAGTCATGGGGGGGATTCCCCCCCAGTTTGGCGTCACCTGGACTGGAAACCAGTTGCTCCGTGGGTTTGTTCCAGCCTTTTGTCGAAGCTTTTTTTGGAAAACTAGCAAAGAGTGCGCTTCTGAGACAAGAGTGAATTGCTCCACAACAGGTGCAACATAGCGAGTGACTTAGGACTTGAGTCAGTCTGTCACTCAGGGAGAGAACCCCGCCCCCCCGCAAATGCTGGGTTCTCAGAACTCTTCGGGGGTGGCTTTGGCTTGCCCACTCGGGGGGGATTCCCATGCGGTGCGACGCGGGATGTACCCGCCTTAGGGTGTCTCCATCACCACGCCCAAGCAGAACCAGCCGGGGGCCCCAAATCCTCCCGATCTCGCGGATCCCGCGATTTGACGCATCTCCTGACTTATTGGTTGCACAACTGTATGTGAGTTTGGTTGGGCTGGAACATGTTTGGGGCTGAACAAACCCCGTTTTGGCTTTGGTATCCTGTCCATGTCTCAGGCAGGGCTCCTGGAGCCTTAAGGATCTATCACCAGTCGCAGTGCTTTCCTCACAGGTCAGGTGGACGTGCATAAGACAGCAAACACTCGCAGGTGAAAGACCTGAGCTACCCGACAAGTTGGGACTAGTTGATTCCGCCCCTGGAGAGGTTCAAAGGAGCGCGAAACAGGGGGGCACCAGGTGCCCTTTGAATCGTCACCCCATTTTCTGGCTAGAAACGCCCCTGCTGTTTTTTCGCGAACCGGGGCCCAGGTATTACACCTTCCGCCAGACCGCCGGGGGCCGAGCAGCGTGGGTGGAGTGAATTGGCCCAGGTCTGCCGCAGGTCGGCTTTCTGGTCGCCTCACAGTCGATTTAGTCTATACCCAGAGAAAACCACCTGACACCCCCTCGGATTTTGCAGGAAACTCAAAGGACCCCGCAAAGGACTGCAAGGAAACCACAAAGTAAGCCCACAGCTCTCCTTGTCCGCATAGTGAGTGGCAGCAGTGAGGACACAAGATCTAGGGACCATCTAGTGTAGGTCAAACATATAGATCTTTGTGTGTGTGTGTGTGTTGTGTTGAACCGCCTGGGGTATACACTATACGATATATATATATATATATATAGGTGTATATATATATATATATTATGTACAGTTAGAACGAACCTGTTTAAATCCAAGAAATCCGTGTTTCGTTCAACATCAACTCCAATCTCCGTCAAGTCGGTCCGTGCCTTTAGTTTGGGGATGTCGGTGCAGGGTCCAAATCATTTGGGCGGCTCGTCCTTGTTGGTTCCAAAGGACGCCAAAGGACACCCGGTGCCATATTTTGGACACATCCATTGGCCCCATTGGGGTACAAATCCGTTGGCTCCATGGGGGTAAAGAATCCGTTGGCTCCATGGGGTAAAAAACCATTGGCTCCATATTTTGGGGTTCAACTCCTAAAGCACATCCATTGGCTTCCTGTACCTTGAAAGGGGCCAGCTGGTTGTCGCTTTTTGGTGGGCAGGTGCCGATGGGCCGCACGAAGCTGAAGAGGAAGGAGGCAAGGGCCTGGTGGGCGGTTTGAGAGTGAAAGGCACATGGCTGTGGTGGTCAAAACCGTTTTGGGATCCCATTTTGGGGGATTGGTGAATTCACCACCCATTTTAGAACCTATTTTAGCGGTTGGATTGGGATGTTCACTGGGGGTACGATTTGGATTTTGACCCATGGCCACATCGGGTGGTGGGAACAACCAAAGGACCCTTCCCCCAAAGGTACAGTAGTTGGACTTTTGGATTTGGCACTGTGGAATCGTTCCCGGCCATTTGGACCAGAGTGAACAGATTGGTCGCAAGTTGGTTCGAACACCTCGAGGGGATTTGTGAGCAAACAGGTCCCTTTCTTGGAGGTTCCTTATGGTTTGGACCCATGAACCAGTTTCCTTTTCCCGGATGCCGCGCGAGTATGGGGAAGCAGTCAGCTACGTGGTGAGTTTACCCGCCTTCAAACATGGTCGGCGGTTTCTTGCTGGTTTCTTGGCCTAAGTCTTGGCTCTGTGTCTCCGAGAGCAGGATTTGCTTCCCCCTTCCAGAGAACACTATAGGGACCACGGAGTATAGACGCTTTCTTTGTGGCTCTTAGATTTCCGCTGATGGTGGGATGAGAGGATGGTGGGGTTCAACAGGCTGGGTTTGCCTCAAGATTACACTAGGGGACCAGAAATATGTTTGGCATCCTTTGTAATTGCCTTGAAAGCCAACCAAAAGGGCGTTCCCCAAAAGAAGGCACACCGTCTGAGGTCGCTCAACAGATCTGCAATTTGGGAGGGGCATGGGGGAACTCATCAAGTTTCCCACAAGAATCAGGGAAAAGCCTATTTTTTTTGGACAAAGCGGCTCCGCATATTGTACTAGCGTGTCTTAAAATAGGGGAACCATCAAGGACCAAGGGTTGTTTCCTTTGCGTTCCCTTCAACACATGCCCAACAACGCTACTCACTTTCCAACACATAGAAGTGTACGGGAGGCCTTTGGAAGATCCAGGTAAGAAGTGGGAGTATGGAAGGAGCAGGGACGGAGTAGGAATTGTGTCAATAGTTGGCCACCATGAACCATGATCAGAATTTGTTGTTTTTAGTTTGTTTTACTTGTTTCCCTTCATGACTCAAAAGATGTAGCTTCAAAGACACACACCGTGTAAAGGAATACTGTCCAAACAAGCTTTAACTTTTCCGCATTCTTCGGTACAATACGTTTGCTCAACGGAAACTCGATGTGCCGGTTTTATCAAAATTGGTGCAAGTAGATTCCAACACAATAATACTTCATTGCACACATGTCATATCCAAAGCAACTTGGTAATACAATAAGCAACGAGGAGAGATGTTGTCAGATTCTCGCTTGAGGCAAGCTACCAGAAACCAATTGATTCAGACGGATGCCGAAGAACCAGTTTGTTTTTTGGACACAGCATCTCTTGGCATTTGGAATTGTTGAAAAGTGTTTTTGCACATCCTGATTTGCCTCGACAGTCCTTGCACCATCTTATTCTCATCAAACTACTTAGAGCCACTGATCGTCATCGTCACAATGTGACTTGTCGGGACCACATGTCGTACATCATGCGTTCTCCAGATATGTAAGCTTATAGTTCTATTAGCACTCAAGCTCCGACATAGCACCTTTGCTTGAAGCCATCCTTAGACAAGACCGCAGCGGCCACTGGAAAGCCTAGCATGCTTCGGGTACAGCCATCAAACCGGGTCGAAAGGACAAGTGGACGCGCAAACAAAACAGTGAAGTACATGTTGTTTGATGTTTGGAGCAGAGTAGCTGAATAGCAGAGCACAAACTCAATGTACACTCCGAAGTTAAAGGCGCGTGCTTAAAGCAGACTCCACTCAAACCGCCTCCCATGATGTTTGCTGGCTCATTTTTGATGGAAGTCTTCCAAAGCCCTCCGGTGCAGTTGGACAGAGTGCAGCCTCAACAAAAAGCCAAAGGTCTAGGGCTACCTTCCCCATTCTTTCCAGGGATCCTTCTTTTCAGGAAGCCATCAAAAACCCGGGGAAACAGAGAAAAGAGCGATGGTTGCAAAGAATGGAATCGGAATCAACCCAATAGAATCCAAACCGGGAACCTGGCTGCTGGAGCTGCCCATCCTTTTTGAATCGGAATCAACCCCTAGAACTGGATCCAGCCCTTGCCCGTGCCACCTTGCCACACCAGCATGCGCCTGCATGAGGTCGAGAGCATGATCCTCGCGCTGAAGCGGCGGTGGTCAGGCCGTCGGCCGGGTCACGGAGGGCCCGCTGAAGCGGCGGGCGAAGTGCCTCAGTCGGGCGTCAAAATGGCCAGGCCCAGGAAATGTGAACCCCGGATCTAAGTAGAACCCATGCTTGATTTTGATAAAAGGGTGTCCCCTTTTAGTGGGGATTCAGACCACTTTTGGAGGGAACACCTAAACCCTAGTAGTGGGACGGGTTTATTAATTTGGGGTCAATAGTATGTTTGCTTCCTTGAGATGTAGGTATGTGTCGAAGTAGAACTCCCGGGCAAAGGTGGTTGTCCTTGTGATTCCAGGAAACCAAACCAAAAAGGGCACCCTCAAAAACACGCATACCCAGCTGTATGCGTTGGTTTCTCTAAAGCGACACTCTAGAGAGGGCGAGACACCTGGGGCCATTGCCCTTAACATGGAAGTGCACGGTTGCCCCCTAGAAAAATCATGCGAGCCGCCTGAGCGTTTCCATGTTTGTTGGTCGGGTTTTGGTTGCCGATGGGAGTCTAGGGATTCAAGAGTTTGGTTTCACAGATCCAACTAAACAAATTAACAACAGTCAACCTGTCCCAGGGAGCCCCAAAAAAGCGGATTCCAGCTTGCACGCCGCCTCGCACCCATTCGATTTTTTTGGGTCTTTTCGTTTTACCCGCTGAGCTTTGGTTGTGGCAGCTTTCGTGTTATTGGCACTGAGGAAGCCGATGTTCGTTTTGCGGGTTGTCGTCGAATGGGACGTTTGGCGCAAACCGCTTTGCCACAAAGACCTGGATCGACTCCTTACTCATGACTCCCCTTCACTTGGCCCCCCCCTGCCCCCCCAAAAGAAAAAGGGGGGGTCGTCCTTTTTTGGAGTTGGCCCCCTTTTATGGTGCTTGGTTTAGAGGGACGCCAAAAGGACCAACGCCATTTTTGTCTTTTGTTTTGTTTGGGGGGGGGTCCATCAAAAAAGACACCCATTTAGGCTACTTTATGTATTTCATGACAGCATCTTCCGAGGCCTTTTCGCCAGTTGACCTTTCAACGCCTGAGGGTGTCAGCAGGCTGCTTTCTTCGGCCTGTCATTCTTCCCACGACTTCTCACATGCTTTCACATACCATGTTTGGCAACCGGGGGAGCATCATCTACGACTTGAAGTCAGCGAGCCCTAGTTGCCTGCCAAAGTGCTAAGTGGAATCACTCTGTCGTTGGTAAGTCGGGTTGATTTTGGTATCTTTTGGTTTCTTGGGGTCCTCTTGAGGTTGACGCCATAGCCATCAACCCCAGTTTAATTTATTCATAGAGGGCTGTCCCTGGGTGAAATGTGGGGAATCACTCCACTTTCGGAAGGGAGCCCCTGGGGTCGGCACTACATACTGTGGATGGACGAAATCCATTTCGCATCACCTGAGAAACCATAGAATGATGATTTTGTCCTGTAAATACCAACAAACAGTGATTTCAACCATGGTTTGAAAGTGGTGCGGTCTCGGATTTCGCAGCCATCCACAGTAGTTCCGCACCGCCAGGCGCGGAGTATGACTTGCTGGACCGAAACTGCGGGCACTTCTGCAACGAGCTCTGCCAAGCGCCCCTCGACTCGATTCGCGCGGTTGCGCTTGTGGCCTTTGAAGCGGTTAGAAATAGATGGCCATGGGTCAAACGCCAAATCGTACCCCCAGTGAACATCCCAATCCAACCACTAAAATAGGTTCTAAAATGGGTGGTGCACCGAAAACCCCAAAATGGGATCCAAAACGGTTTTGAACCACAGCCAGATAGGTTCCACTAGCTTAGATGGGGTTTTATGCCCCAAGTGCCAGGGACACCCATCTATTTATCTAGTTTAGGTCAGCCATGGTTGGAGGTGGTAGGGAAACCGCCAAAGTAGCTACTCTGCAAATAGTTGTACGGATTGATCTGGAGGTATGTCAATTTGCAAAAGTAGTCATCGGTAGGGGAATCCTGCTTTGGCATCATGGAAAGGGTTGTTTTCCACCTTGGGAGACGCATGCTCAGGGTTTCTGGGTGAAGAGTGGATGTGCAGCTCTAGTGGGAGCCAAGTTCCTGGTAGTCCAAGTTCCTGGCAGTTTAGATTGTATGGGAATCATTCTTTTCACCCATCTTTCCTTTCAACTCCGCCTGTGTTGCCCCCAGGAATCCGGAAGTTTTCTTAGAAAGACGGAACCCTAGAAAGAATGGGAAAGGTATTCCTAGATAGATTGGTTTGGAGTTCGGGGCTGCCAAGGCAAAATGCAAGGTGATCGGTCCAACTTAGCTGGCCTGCCGATCCCCGGCTGGGTCCGCTTAAAGGGAACCAAGGGGGGATCTCTGAAGTTTCAGCGGGCGAGTTTTAGGATTGGTTGATTGGCAACGTTGGCCTGTCCGGTTCTTCAGGGGCATCCTCTAAATCCATTTCTTTTCGGTTGGGTCCCACTCGCCATGGTCAAAACAGGAGTTGAGGTTCCCTTTTTCTGCCACTCGGCCACTGGGTTTACCATCCTTCGGTTTGAACAGATCTCTACATGGGTGTGTGTTTTTTTTAGATGCTTGGTACCCTTTGTGGGGCTGAAGTTTACTGGAAGCCAAGGAACATGGGCTTTTGAGGCTTGGTACCCTTGGTGGGGTCGAGTTTTACTGGACACCAAAAGGAAACCACTCACTTGGCGGGTCCCCCGATTTTTGTGAATCCCCCCGCCTTTTTCACGCGAGCGCTGAGGCTCGGCGTGGGGCGCATGCCGTGCTGGGTGACCCGTGTGGCGGAGGCCGAGCGACCGGATGAAGCAGAACCCGTGGCTGACTCATAGGCGGTGTCTCCCCCTTTCACCCAGGAATTCAGACCACTGTTGGACACCTATGAAGAGGATGGTTTAGAAATTCAGCCCCAAAAGTGGGGCTCTTTCCGTTTGGTTTGCCTTTATCCATCCGAACAGGTGTCTGCAATTTTGAGAAGCCTCTGCAGGTGTTATTTTTGAGATGGGAGCCCAGAATGGGTTGCTTCCTTTTGGTTTCCATTTTCCAGACAGACAGAAATGGGTCGACGGAAAAGTTATGCCAGACCATGGCCCTGATGCCGGGCTCGCACACGCTGCTGGGGGGCCCAAATAGATTTCGAGGCGCATCCAGCGTGGATTTCGACGTCAAGTTGGTCGGCCGACCCCCTTTTGGGTTCCCTTGAAGGCAACCTGAAAAGGGGGTACCCTCCAAAAAAGACGAGCCACCCAAATGGATTTGGGACTTAGGAAAAATGGTGGATTCCTCGGAAGGAGATCTTCCAAGAAACAGCGGCGCAAAGGTTTGCAGTGGGTAGCCAATGCTCGCAATGGGGGAGGGGGGCGGGGTTGGCCTCTCAAAACCAAGGAGCTCACATGGCAGGTTTCTTCACCAAGTAGAACCAACCCCGAAAAGGATATCCTTCAAACGCTTGCACCCATTTGTAACCCTCATTGGTTGCCTCAAAGAGTCCGACGGATCCCGCTTTGTGCATCGGGCACTTTCTGTTGGTCTCACTGCATCGCACGACTCGGCGCGGACCCTTCTCCTCGTGGCTTTTTCGGGGGGAGAAGTCAAAAGTCCTGACGTACATGACCCCTAAAAAAATAATAATGGGGTCATTGACCCATTTTTGAAGGGTCTTGGAGACTCCAGGTAGCGATTTGCCCAGAAAGGGTCGTGTTCTTAGGCTCAGGGGCGATCCCGGCCGAGCAGGTTTGGCCGAGACCAAGCCTTTGGAAGACCAAGGCAGCAAATTACACATCCTGTTTAGGGGCCAAATAGCTACTAAGGTTTACTCCGATGATGATGATGATGATGATGATGATGATGATGATGATGATGATGATGATGACGAAACATGATTTTAAGTAGTTAGCCGCAACACTGTTTATTTAGTCCCTTGCAAAACAAGTGCCTCCCATTCGCCCAAGCACTACACCCACAGAGTTTGATAGCCATTCCGATTCCTCAATCTTCCTTGAGATCTAGGTGTGCGTGTGCGCGTGTGCGTGTGTGCGTGTGTGCGTGTGTGCGTGTGTGCGTGTGTGCGTGTGTGCTTGTGTGCGTGTGTGCGTGTGTGCGTGTGTGCGTGCGCGCGTGCGCACGTGCGCGCGTGGGCGTGCGTGTGCGTGTGCGTGTGCGTGGGCGTGTGAGTGTCAGTGTGTGTGTCTGTGTGTGTGTGTGTGTGTGTGTGTGTGTGTGTGTGTGTGTGTGTGTGTGTGTGTGTGTGTGTGTGTGTGTGTGTGTGTGTGTGTGTGTGTGTGTGTGTGTGTGTTTGTGTGTGTGTGTGGGTTTGCGCGTGTGTGCGTGCGTGTGCTTGCGTGTGCGTGCGGGTGCGTGCGCGTGCGTGCGTGCGTGCGTGCGTGCGTGCGTGCGTGCGTGTGTGCGTGCGTGCGTGCGTGGGTGTGTGTGTGTGTGTGGGTGCGTGTGTGCGTGTGTGCGTGTGTGCGGGCGTGCGGGCGTGCGTGCGCGCGCGCGCGCGTGCGTGCGTGCGTGTGTGTGTGTGTGTGTGGGTGGGTGTGTGGGTGTGTGTTGCACAAACGACGCTTCATTTTGACAACCCATGTTCCGCAGGAGTCCACATTCCTGACAAGCATCACTGGGATACCCCTGCGTCGCCATGGGGAGTGGGTTGTCAAACGTAGGAGGTCCATGTTGACACCATTTGAAGCTCATCGCCAAGGAAAGATTCCCTCTCGCGCGCCATCATGGAGGATGGCAGGGGCACTTAGACGTGGTTGAATTGGTGTTGGTCGAGTTCGAGAATTCACCACGCGAGGTGGACAGGCCAAGGTTTTCTTGATCAGACTTGGCTTACCCTAACCCCCCACTTTAACCCCAAACTTGGCGTTTCCGCCCTTTCGACTTTTGCCGTCATTCTCACGAACACCTGTTTTGGGAGGTCTAAGTCTGGAAACGTTTCACGTTGGGAATTCGGAGTTGGGAATTCACTTCCATGATACCAGGAAACTTCAATGTTTGCGTGCATATTTTCCACATGGGTCTGTCTCCAAACAGGGAAGCCCCAAAAAAGCGTGGTTTCCTCCTGGTTTGCCTGTAACACCAACCAGAAGAGGGTACCCTCACAAAAAGACAGACCCCCGTCTCGATTTTGTTGATATCCATGGGACAAATGCTCCTTACTCGCTGAATGATGTGCCTTTCGCGTCCACAAACCCGCGAGCATTCGCGCATGCGCGCCCATGCGCGCAGTATCCGCACCTGCAGCTGCCCAGGCACCGCATCTCGCTTCTTGAGAGCCTCTCTTGTTTCAGGAGGTGACTCAAAGCGAGCTCTAGACTTCATGTGTCCTTTTTGTTTTTGAGGCTGTTTCATGTTTGTGGTGTTTACCGGCAGACCAAAAGGAACAGCACCATTTTGGGGGTTCCCTAACAAGAAATAAACCCAAGTAAGCGGTTGTGCCTTCAACAAGCGTTGCCTTGCCCTGGTAGGTCATGTGCCAGACGGAACTCGGGAAACACCCTCTTCTAGGGGTTGATTCCGATTCCATTCTTTTCAATTTTCGTTCTTTTCAAAAACCGGCTGTTTCCCCTGGGTTTTCGATGGTTTCCTGAAAAGATTCGGATCCCTGGAAAGATCGGGGAAGGTAATCCTAGGACTCTGCAAAAGCGGTTGGGGTCACGCAGAGGCTCTCCACGGGATGACGAGGCGCGAGCCACGACTTTCGAGACGTTGGGATGGGTGCAAGAGCTATGGGTTGCTTTGCCAGAGACGTGGCTGTGGTGGTCAAAACCGTTTTGGGATCCCATTTTGGGGGATTGGTGCACCCATTTTAGAACTTATTTTAGTGGGGATTGGGATGTTCACTGGGGGTACGGGATTTTGACCCATGGCCACATGGCCATGAATTATGAATTGTATTTGTTGGAGCCTCGGAAGTGTCTGATTGACATTCCCCCAAATGTTCAAACCCCGAATGATCCGGGATTTGTGGCTGGAGCGGTGAAAAGGATTTGGATGCACTGGCCTTCCCACGACCCGCCGGCGCCTTCTCGGCCATGCCCATCGCACCTTCAGGAACCCGGCAGACACGAGAACTTGAATGCCCATCGCAAAGCCGTTTTTCCATGTTGCCGCCTGTCGTTTTTTTTTTTTTTTCCACGCCTTCGGGCTTCTGGGGTTTCCAGTCGGTGCTATTTCCGCTGGCTCCGGAAAAAAACGGGGCCTTCGCCACTGGGGCGGCGGGAGAAAAGGGCTGGCCGGTTCCGAGACCACCCCAAACCACCCTCTGGGCCATGCCAGCCGTGGCTTTGCTCCGGGTTTTCCAGTTTTCCAGGGGTCCGTTTTTTGTTTTTCCAGTCGCGGTGTGAGGCGGGAGGGTCAGTAGAGGGAACGGGGGCGCCTGCACCTCCAGGCCTATTTGGTCTGCACCCCACCTGCTCATCCAGGCGGTTCGGAAAGTTGGCTGGGGGCCTTGAAAGGCCTTGGAAAACGGGACATCAGTCTAGGGACCCCCAGATTTATGGGTTGGCTTGGTTGCGTTGGGTTCACAAACCAGCTTTTTGGGAAAAAGGGTTTTCGTTTCTCGGCTTTGTCCGGTCTTCGTTTCAAGACCTGCTCGCGCCCTGCAAAAGCCGCCAAATGCACAATGAGATTCTTCGCTTCAAAGACTCGCCCTTGTTTTTGGCAGTTTTAACCTATTCCACTCCAATGAATTTGTCTTTGAGAACTACAGCAAGGCTCACACAACAACCTACATTTCTTTAAAGACGACTCAAACCAAGGACCAACGACCTGGCCTTTAGCTGAGTTCTTCATGAACCAATTTCAAGCTTGTAAGCTTTGTCTCGTTGTCTTTGTTCGGTGATTTGCCCTAAGCAGTTGAGAACCTTGAACACCCATAGACTTTGAATCAGTACCCTTCCCACGAAGATATCACTTTCCTGCTAGGTAGTCTCACCGGTCATTCGTGGGTCAATAGGACCCCCCCCCCCCGCATGCAATAGGTGTGCTCGTCCGGGGTTCCCATTTTAGGGCCTCGGCTTTCTGACACGGGTCATTCCCCGAACTCAGCCATCCTCAGTAAAACCCTTTCCTGGATCCCAAACCGGGTCAACCTGGTGATCCCTGAGAAGCAGGTGGGCATGTGTCAAGCCACGGAGAGCAACCCGCCAACAAAAAATCAGAGCAGGGCCGTCCATTCAACACGTGAAAAACGGCGCACGCCCACAGCGCCCCGCTCTCAAACGACATGGGCGGGTGTTCTCCTTCTGGCGCTCGTTTGAAACCACCAAACGCGCGCACACGGGCCCAAGAACAAGCGCCAGGCAAGATGCTCCGGAGCCCACCAGGCCGAAGAAGCAGTTCCGGGCTGGGGCTGCCAACGAATCCACGTGAGGAATCCACGGTCTCCATTTGTTTTCTTTCTAGGGCATGGAAAGGGCTCCAATCATGTAGCAAAGGAACACATGGCCACATGGGTCAACGTCGACATCCAGCTCAGAGTCTAATTTGGAAGACTTTCCTGGCTTCGGAAGCCACATGAGTGGTTCCCGTGAAGCCTCCCAGTTCCGCTTCCATCTCATGGTAACTGGGTCAAGAAGCCCCCTCCCCCTCTTCCCCCCCCCCTCTCCTCCCTCTCCCCCCCGCTCCCATGGGATCGATCCACCTCCGCCAGGCTCGGGGGCCACGCTGCCCTCCACGGGGTCCCCGGTGCACTGCCGCTACGGCAGCCTGGAGCCAGGCCGGCCGGCGAGGGCGGCCGCGCTCGGAGGGATCTTCTGGGGGATGTTTGGACGCCCCCGGCTTTTGGGTGGCGTTCCTTTTGGACTTGGCCTAGAAACAAAAACAGAAGAGCTACAAGAAGAAGAGAGACAAGGGACAGACACGGATCTGGCCCCAGAAAAGAGGTTGCGCGGCTTCCCCGGGAAGGGGACAGCTCCAAGGACGTCAACCGGTGTATTGGTGCGGGCGTCACATTGCTTCCCTCCAGCTGGTTTCGAAGTTAGATGGTTTCCCTTTCTGGCCCTTTCGCATCTGGGTGGCGGTTTTGCATTTTATTGGTTATGACAGTTTTTCTTGTTTGGTGGCTTCAGTTTTTGGTCGTTTTGCTTTGGCTTTGTTGATTATTGTTTGGTTTGGTGGCCTTGCAGCTGCGATCGCTCTGGGCCATTCACTTCTTCGCGTGCAGGGCAACGCCCGGCTTCGTGATCAGTCCATATGGCTGTGGTTCAAAGCAGTGTACCAAAATGGCACCTTGGTATACCTTGCTTCCATTTGGTTAAGATATTGTTTTCCCCTGTTGGTTTTAGAGGGAATCTATCACTACTGGACATATTTTTATTTATGCCAGGGAACTTAAGCAAATGGCAGCTTGGTAAGTGGAACCGAAGACTAAAACCTGCGTAACCTATATTTCGTTAAGGTTCCAAACGTTAACCTTTCATTTCCAGGTCCTCTGGGCAAGTGAGATTGTTTTGATGCTTGTTGTTTTTGTTGGCTTGCTACTAGCTTATTGTCATGATTGGGAATGTGTGGTTGGTTCTGGTACTACGAACAATGCTAGCGTATGCTAGCTTCCATTGTTGCTCGTTCTTGTCGTCATTTTGCTGTATCACCATGCTCATGTTCATCTTCATCATGCTGACCACGCTTTACATACTATTATTCTCAGAATCACTTTTGTTATTGTCAGTGTCATTGTTTTAGTGGCTTTGTTTTGAATATCAATAATATTAATAATAATAATGATAATAATACTAATAGTAATAGTAATAGTAATAATAATAATAATAATAATAATAATAATAATAATAATAATAATAATAATAATAATAATAATAATAATAATAATAACAATAACAAATAATAATAATAGTAATAATAACAATAATAATAATAATAATAATAGTAATAATAATACTAATAATAATAATACTAATAATAATAGTAATAATAATAATAATACTTATAGTAATAATAATACTAACAATAATAATGATAACAATAACAATAATAATGATAATTAAATAACTAAATACATAAATCAATAGATAAATAAATAAATGAATAAATACAGACACAAGTAAATAAATAATGAAACTGCAATTTATGCTTCTTGTTCAGTAGCATCACGGCTCACGCATGTTCATTTTTGTATACTCAACATGCTTAGGACGGAAGAGTTCTTGGACAGGAGCTTCGCCCATCGCTCAAATATATTTTTGTGCGTGGCTGCTACAGTATGTGGCATGTGTCTGTGTGTGTGTGCCACAACATGTCACGGGGATCTCTTGGGATGCAAGTTGGAACACCAAACGCCTCGGGTTTCGGACATTTCGAGAGGAGAGGGCCTCAAAGGGCGATGCTGTTTGCTCATGTTGTACAGTGATTTACTGGGAACCGCGTATTTTTCTAAGCTGCTTGATTTTGTTCGGGTGGTGTCGGGCTTCAGACAATTTTTGTGCACATTTGTAGCTTTCCCAGTGGCACGGGAGCCTTGGACACGGACCTTGGGTTGCTACTCCCTTCCATTTGCTGAAATGAATGTTCATTATTTTTCCTGGTTGGGTTTAAAGGGAATCTATCACTACTGGACATATATTTCTTTTCTTCGCAGGGGGCTTAAGCAAATGGAAGCTCCCCAATCTGAAGCAGAGGAGGGGTGCAGTTTTTGGTCATAGGACCGACTACAAAGAGAGTTGCGTTGAAATTTATCGGAAGAACGCTAGCAAGCATTGAGCTTGCAGCTGAGCTGCAGGCTTCCATTGTTTCATCGCCACCAAGGTAGGCTGAATTCCGGGGGTGGTATTTCACCGGAAGGGCCTTTTGGCCTGAGCTTGCCCTGGCGTAGAAATGAAACCTATGGGAATCTTCATAGGTTTGACGCCTTTGAAAGGATACGCCTGAAATGCACCGTGTGCAAGTAGAAACCCGCTGGTACAGGTGGGTTTCGGTTTGGACCATATGTCGGTGGCTCGTCTTTTTCCCAATATTCCAACGAGCCAGCCACATGTATCTTTTCTGCAACGGGAGCTGCGAACCCGGCGAAATATGCTCCTTGGCGGTTTCCAGCCGTCCATTTCTTTCGGATTGTGACGTGACTCTGCTAAAACAACCTCCTTTGGATCCCATCCACCCGAAACAAGGGCTGTTTTGAACAAAGCGCCACTTGCAAAGGCCCCGCGGTCTCCCTAGCACAGCATCGCTGCGAGGCGGAAGGGCGGACGGCAGAAGGGCAGTTCAGGTGTGATGTGTACAGTTGCATGTCAGAACTGGGCTTGTTTGGGGAGCCTCCAGAATGTCGAATTGGTTTTCCTTCAGTTTTCTTTAAGATCCCAAAAAGAGTCGAAACAAGTTGGGCCCGACTCAAAATCGGAATTGTCCCGCCGTTTTGGATGGCAAAGGCAAGCCACCTAGCTGGGTAGGCGAATTTTCAGGGCCCCACCCACTTGTTTGTTCCAGCCCATTTGGGGCAATTCGGGGGGTTGAAAGGAAGACTGGGGAAAGCACCTGTTTTGAACATTCCATTGGGAACATAAGGGCATCCCGCAAAGGGGTGTCTTCCTTTGGGATTCCCGTCGGTTTCGCAAACAAGCCCCACCCCAAAAAGGGCCACGTTCCTTAGGTGGTTGTCCCTTCGTCGCCCTGTCGGTAAGTTCCCTTTTGATGTTTGCTGCAGAGCTTGGATCAAAATCGAGGGAACGGGCTTGTCCGGTTGGTGTATACTAGGGTCGCAACCCAAATTGGGAAAATCAGCCAGACCCTAGCTACCTTGCGAAAACAGAAAAGGTTTGTTGAAGCAAAGCTGGTCTAAATATGGCAGTATTGCTTAGCCGCGGACATTCGTTACATACCCCTCGTTACATACCCGTCCTTACATATCCCTCCTTGCATACCTTCGTTACATACCTCACTTATCAAAAAAGCTGGGTGGTTGCATGCCCCTCGTTTCGTACAGGTCCCGATGCATACCCAGACTCTCAGTGATTCTCGATGGGCTGTGAAGAGAGTCAACTTGCAGAGAGCTTGCCATTCAGAGCAAAAGTTGGAACAGGTAGATAGGGGACGGAAGAAATAATTCGCTTTCTGTGCAGCACCTCGTTACATACTTGGTTACATACCTCGTTACATGCCCAACCGAGGCCGGAAACCTCCTTTTCGATGTCGCCTGCCCTGCGTTGAATGGTTGCAACTTTCGAGCCGGAGCTGCGGATGCGCGCTTCGGGTACCGCACTTGCACTGACTAACTGGCTGCGATGCACTTTGTTGTCCTGAGCTACATTGTTCTACTAGTACTTGCCAAGCAGTGTTTTCCCGATACACACCTATGCAACAAGGACCCTTGTTGCATACGCCTGTGGCAAGCTTGAAGCCGCGCCGCGTGTTGCATACCCTCAAACAAAAGGGTTGCCCCCAGCCCTGGCGTGCACCTGCCCGAGGCGTTCCACGAGCGCGGCCGCAAGGCGCGGGGAAGGAGACGCTTAACAGCCAGGAGCACCCGCATGGCTATTGGGTCCACAACGATTTAGGGTTGACAAAATATGAACGGAAACAATATGTTTTGCTTTTCTATATTTTTTGTTTCTGTGTGCTCCAGGCGTAGGCCAAGTGTTAGGGTTCGAAAAACATTGCCAGGTCAGTTTGACTGAAACCACAATACCTTTCGTTGGAACCTGTCAGTTGGGTTCCAATCATGTGGCACTTCGTGCCGATTTTCGTCCAACAGGACGCCGAGGCTTGGCACAGCACACAAGGGCCTCGGGATCAGTTTACAAGATTCTGGCACCTTTTACTTGCTGGTGCTGAGTAGGGAATGACCCAGAGTGGTGATGTTTCACCCAGGGGTCCCCTCAAAGGAAACCACAAAGGATGGTTTACAGGGGTCATTACCTCATTCCCTGCTGAGCTCCAGCAAGTTTACTTTGATTCTTTCCAGGGATTCTTTCGAGCAAACCCTGGTTCCCTGGATTCCGACCGGAAAACCAGGGACACCGGATCCGGAATCAGAGCTTGAGTCCCACCGCCAAATGGTGTCAAGAGACCCCCCCCGAATGGGTTGTTTCATCTTGGCTTCTCGTTAAAATCCCAAAAATGCCACCTCAAAAAGCATACTCAAAAAGGTGTGGCAAGTTTCCAAGTTTCCCATTTTGAGCCTCCCTCGTTTGTTGGTAGACCTCTTACGGGGTTTTGATGCCTCAGCAAAAGACACCCAGGGGGGAGGGGTGGGGCGCGCTTGCCGATGTCGGTGCTCACCGCCTGGTAGCCAAATGGAAAAAAACACATTTTTTGAGTTGTTCTTTGCTTACCCTGAATCTCACGCCGTGAGTTCATGTCATGTTGGAACAGTGTGACCTTAGTTGCAAGCCCTTTGTGAGGCATTCGAAAAGAAACAAAACACTTCAAGCCAACTCATCATTGTTTTCCAGGTCTCCAAAACAAGGGTCCAGGCAAACAAGCAAAAGACCAATCCACAGAGCCACTTCGTGTGTAGCAGACTGATGCTCTGAGGCTCGTTGAACATGCCTCCCAAATACAGTGATGCTCAGCTCAACGGGAAGTTTCAGTTTGCTGGCCCCAAAAAGAGGGTCACCCCCATTTCAGCAGATTCGAACCTCTCAAAATTGCATGTCTTGGTTTCTTGTCTCCCCCTTTTGCGCCGGGAGGCGCGTTCTTCTGGGGGTTCTCCCTCCAACGAGTTGGAGCTTCGAAGTGTCACAGATTTCGCATGTGCCAGGCCAGGGAGAGGGAGAGGGACAGGCGCGGATGGGTTGGGCTGGAGCCTGACTTCGGGGACCTAGAACCACAATCCCAGGACGAGTTTTCGACTTCTGACTCTGGGATCGCTTGGTCCAGAGCCATAGATGTTTGATCGACCCGCGGGACCTCTCACTTTCAAAATGGTCCCGCCTACACAAAAAGGTCAGAGACTTGGCCACCTCCCATTCCGCACAAGAGAGCGGCGCAGATCGCAGATCGCAGATCCACTTCGCACGGCTATGTGGTCGTATTGGACCCCCCCCCAAATCGTTTCTTTTTTTGGTTTCCCTTTAAACCAAGCGGAAAAGGGTAAGGAGCATGCCCAGCTGATTTGTTCACTCGAATGCTCGACGCGAGCTCCGGATTCAGAAGCCCCCAGCTTGCACAGCTTGCACAGCTCCGGAGACCGGCTCCGGCCGGCTCGGTTCCGCTGTCGTGATCCCGACTGAACTGGTCGATGGTTTGTGGGAGGGACCAACAAGCCCCAAATAAGGCTTTTGGGGCTGAATAAGGGCTTATTTTGGCTCCCTCCCCCTCCCGTCCCTCCCCCCCAGCCCTCGTGACAGTTGCAACATGAAGATGGCGGAGGACCGCATCAACAAAAAGATTCGACCAACAGCTTCAAGAGTACCCACCTGGTATATGGGAACTGTTTGGTACGGGACAGAAATAAGGACCGCATGCCGGTAGGAAGGGGACAGGTGTCCGTCTGAGGGAGGTACTGAGTTCCTGTCCATCCCAAGCTACCTCACTCTTCTGCCCAACAACTACAAGCCCCTCGCCATGTCCCTTTTTGGAACCTCCAAAGTTTCAATGGAACACACCTGTAAATTGCCACTTTTGAAGGGGAAATCCAGTCACCCCTTGTATGAGCCCTAGTTTGCGGCGAGACGGGCAGCTAGCCGGAAGAATGGGGAGCCCAGCCTTTGAAGTCAAGGACCCTTGCCTCTTTTCTGAAAGGGCCCCTGAAAAAAGAGAGGTCAACGGGCTTGCCTCCCTTAAAGTGGGCGGGTTCCTTTGGTTTCTGCTGGAAAAACCCAGCCATAATGGGTACCCTCAAGAAGACACCCACAGGTGTTTTTTGGGTTTCGAAAACGGAACAGTTGCATTAATAGGTGAATGGCAGATCCTGAAAGTCTGAGTCGGGAGTTCTTTACAGAAAGGACAATTTGTGAAAAGAAAGACGCAGCCTGAAGAAAACCATATTGACCCCAGTTTTGCTTTAACTATGGCATGTTTTCGTGTTTTTTTTTTTTAGGCCCTGCTTTATTTGGAGCATGACGTGTTTTCGTTCTCTGCCCCTGCTTTAAGCTGACCACGACATGTCTTCGGGCGCCGCCTCCCGGTTTTCCCGGTCAGAAGGGGCCCTGAAGATCCAGGCGGCCCATGCTGGCGGCGGTGGGCGGTGCGTGACATCGCCGGCTCGCTCGGGTGAGAGGTGCGACAAGGGTTTGGGGGGTGGGTGAGGCGAGTTCTCTGAGGGTCGTGGGGGGGAGGGGGAAGGGGGGGAAGGGGGGGAAAACTGCTCTTTTTTTTTCTTCTTCTTTTCTCCCCTTTTTATTTTCTGGGTGGTATCAAAGTCAATAGCTGGAGTTGTTTGGCCGGGGAAGGGGGTATGCTCCCCCTAGAACTGGAAATCAAAGTCAATAGCTGGGGTTGCTTCCCGTATGACTTTGGGAGGGTGACTTTGATGGTAAAAGAATGAGGCCAGTAAAATGGGTGGTGTCGTTTTGGTGTCCCGTCAAATGCCAAAAGGGGGCCAGAATTTTACGAGAAGCACTCAATTGAACCAACCAACGATCCAACCAACCAACCAGCCAGCCAGCCAGCCAGCCAGCCAGCCAGCCAGCCAGCCAGCCAGCCAGCCAGCCAGCCAGCCAGCCAGCCAGCCAGCCAGCCAGCCAGCCAGCCACCAACCACTCGCTTTCTTTCTTTCTTTCTTTCTTTCTTTCTTTCTTTCTTTTCTTGCTTGGAAAAGGAGTGCCAACGGCGGAGGGCAAAAGCTTGCTTGCTTGCTTGCTTGCTTGCTTGCTTGCTTGCTTGCTTGCTTGCTTGCTTGCTTGCTTGCTTGCTTGCTTGCTTGCTTGCTTGCTTGCTTGCTTGCTTGCTTGCTTGCTTGCTTGCTTGCTTGCTTGCTTGCTTGCTTGCTTGCTTGCTTGCTTGCTTGCTTGCTTGCTTGCTTGCTTGCTTGCTTGCTTGCTTGCTTGCTTGCTTGCTTGCTTGCTTGCTTGCTTGCTTGCTTGCTTGCTTGCTTGCTTGCTTGCTTGCTTGCTTGCTTGCTTGCTTGCTTGCTTGCTTGCTCTGTGTGTGTGTGATTTCTCGGATCAGAATTTGGGCTACCGTTTCTGTGGCGGGGTCGGGCTCTATGAATCGGACATCCACGCCCCCTTTGCCCCTCTGCAGTCACCTGCTTTCAAATCTGCAATATCGTTCCCAGTCGTCTCGATTCGCGGTTTTCCTTTAGGGATTGCGGAAAGTCGGATTGGCCGTCCCTCGATTTTGAGAAGCATTATGTTTTAAGGGACGCGTTTCACGTTTGAGTGCGTAGTTTCTCCACCGTTCCTGGGCTCCGCTTACCATCCTTTGAGACCCTTTATATAGGTGTGGGGCTCAGGCAGAGCCCTTCGGAAGAGCCAGCGTCAGGCCAATGTTCGTGAGTAGTTCGTATAGCTCGTAGCAAAGTTGTCAGCTCGCAATGCTTTGCCACGCCCAAAGCTGGCAATCCCCCGTTTTTTGTTCCTTACGCGCGAGAGGTGCCGAGGCAGATTTGCCTCGTGCCCGGCAATTCGGAATTCGATCCGCCGTTGCATCTGGAGGTGACGGGCCGTCCATGTCTGCCAAGGGGTGGGTGACTTTTCTCAGCTCTGCCTGAAGGGGGTTCCTTGGTTTGGCCTTATCACGTTCTGGGCCACTTTCGAAGTGACCCCTCACTGCCATTTGATTTTGGTTGGGAAAGCTCAGAGTTTCCTTGTTGGGTGTTGGGAGCTGTGACGGAGCCACAATCGAAATTGTTTGCATGGCTGGTAGACAAGTTTGATGCCAGTGTTGTTTACTCAAGTGCAACCGGTGAAACGACCCTAAAGCCCCCGAGCAGAACCTGACGACACGACTCGAGTCACTTTCGGGGTGGAGCTTGCGACACGAAGAAAGCTGCCGCTTGCGCTCGGGGGGCGGGGCCTGACTGCCTTGGAAGAAGGAACTTGCATAGAGATCCTTATTTGGGACCCTAGAATAGAGATCCTTATTTGGGACTAGAATTACACCACACACACATACACAGTATGCATTTGCTGGGGGAAGTGGCTTCAAGTCTCCTGGAGTGGTCTCTTAGACTTTTCCCACTTGGTCAAACGAGCTTCCAAGTTCACAAGTGAACGGGGGCCCCGATGGAAGCTTTCCTGAGCTTTGCAGACAGCTGTCAGGAAGGTACTCTTGACATCGGAAGAAGAAAGCCTTCGACTCACCAATTCTTTCCGGAGTCCGTGATGAATTCTTGAGGCAGTTCAGAGAACAAACCGTGGGAGCCGCGCTCCGGAGGTTTTTGGAAAGAATGAAGCAGACTCTCGTGGTTCCCCTTTTCCTTCTTTTCTTTTTTCTTCGGGGAGCGCGTGGGCCCCTTCAAAAAGAAAACGACCCAAGAGGGCGCCATCGTTTTCCCGACGGTTGGTCGACCTAGTCGCCGAATGGCCTTTGGGCTAGCTGTAGGGTCCGCCGGCCGGGGCCGCCGATTCGGGCGACTCGGGCAACTCGGCGATTCGGCGACGCCATGGAAGCCGAAGGGGGCGCAGGCGCGAAAGGGTCGATGTGTGTGCGTGTGTGACTGTGTGTTTGTGTGTGTGCGCGTGTGATTGTGTGTGTGGTTGTGATTGTGATTGTGATTGTGATTGTGGTTGTGGTTGTGGTTGTGGTTGTGATTGTGATTGTGGTTGTGATTGTGATTGTGATCGTGATTGTGGTTGTGATTCTGATTGTGGTTCTGGTTGTGATTGTGATTGTGGTTGTGATTGTGATTGTGATTGTGATGGTGATTGTGATTGTGGTTGTGGTTGTGATTGTGATTGTGATTGTGGTTGTGGTTGTGATTGTGGTTGTGATTGTGATTGTGGTTGTGATTGTGGTTCTGAATGTGATTGTGATTGTGATTGTGGTTGTGATTGTGGTTGTGGTTGTCATGGTGGTTGTGGTTGTGGTTGTGATTGTGGTTGTGATTGTGATTGTGATTGTGGTTGTGATTGTGGTTGTGGTTGTGATTGTGGTTGTGGTTGTGGTTGTGATTGTGGTCGTGATTGTAGTTGTGATTGTGATTGTGATTGTGATTGTGGTTGTGATTGTGGTTGTGGTTGTGATTGTGGTTGTGGTTGTGGTTGTGGTTGTGATTGTGGTTGTGATTGTGATTGTGATTGTGATGGTGATTGTGGTTGTGGTTGTGATTGTGATTGTGATTGTGATTGTGATTGTGGTTGTGGTTGTGATTGTGGTTGTGATTGTGATTGTGGTTGTGATTGTGGTTGTGGTTGTGATTGTGATTGTGGTTGCGGTTGTGATTGTGATTGTGATTGTGATTGTGATTGTGGTTGTGTTTGTGGTTGTGGTTGTGATTGTGGTTGTGGTTGTGGTTGTGATTGTGGTTGTGTTTGTGATTGTGATGGTGATGGTGATTGTGGTTGTGGTTGTTGTTGTGATTGTGATTGTGATTGTGATTGTGGTTGTGGTTGTGATTGTGGTTGTGATTGTGATTGTGGTTGTGATTGTGATTGTGGTTGTGATTGTGGTTCTGAATGTGATTGTGATTGTGGTTGCGGTTGTGATTGTGATTGTGATTGTGATTCTGGTTGTGATTGTCATTGTGGTTGTGATTGTGATCGTGATTGTGATTGTGGGGGTGGTTGTGATTGTGATTGTGGTTGTGATTGTGATTGTGATGGTGATTGTGATTGTGATTGTGGTTGTGATTGTGATTGTGATTGTGGTTGTGGTTGTGTTGTGGTTGTGATTGTGATTGTGGTTGTGATTGTGATTGTGGTTGTGGTTGTGATTGTGATTGTGGTTGTGATTGTGATTGTGATTGTGGTTCTGATTGTGATTGTGTTTGTGATTCTGGTTGTGATTGTCATTGTGGGTGTGATTGTGATCGTGATTGTGATTGTGGGGGTGGTTGTGATTGTGATTGTGGTTGTGATTGTGATTGTGATGGTGATTGTGATTGTGATTGTGATTGTGGTTGTGATTGTGATTGTGATTGTGGTTGTGGTTGTGTTGTGGTTGTGATTGTGATTGTGGTTGTGATTGTGATTGTGGTTGTGGTTGTGATTGTGATTGTGGTTGTGATTGTGATTGTGATTGTGGTTCTGATTGTGATTGTGTTTGTGGTTGTGGTTGTGATTGTGATTGTGATTGTGATTGTGATTGTAATTGTGATTGTGATTGTGGTTGTGATTGTGATTGTGATTGTGGTTGTGATTGTGATTGTGATCGTGATTGTGGTTGTGATTGTGATTGTGGTTCTGGTTGTGATTGTCATTGTGGTTGTGGTTGTGATTGTGATTGTGGTTGCGATTGTGAGTGTGATTGTGTTTGTGTATTGTTTGTGTTTGTGTTTTGTTTGTGTTTGTGTGTGTGTGATTGTGTGAGTGTGTGTTTGTGTTTGTGTGTGACTGTGTGTTTGCGTGTGTGTGATTGTGATTGTGGTTGTGATTGTGATTTTGATTGTGATTGTGATTGTGGTTGTGATTGTGATTGTGATTGGGATTGTGATTGCGTGTTTTTTTTTGTGTTTGCGTGTTTCTGTGTGTGTGTGTGTGTGTGTGTGTTTGTGTTTTGTTTGTGTTTGTGTTTGTGTTTGTGTGTGTGCGAGTGTGTGTGTGTGTGTGTTTGTGTTTGTGTTTTGTTTTTGTTTGTGTTTTGTTCGTGTTTGTGTTTTGTTTGTGTTTGTGTTTGTGTTTTGTGTGTTTGTGTTTGGGTGTGTTTGTGCGTGTGTGTGTGTGTGCTCCTCTGCGTGTGTCTCTGTATGTCTCTGGGTGTCTCTGTGTGCTGTGTGTCTGCGTGTGCGTGTGCGTGTGCGTGTGCGCACTGCCTTCGTGTGTTTTGTTTTGTGCGTCCTTTTCAGGTGTGGAATGGGCACTCGAAGGAGACCATTGATTCTGGGTGCCAATGTTGACACACTGTGTTTCCAGCCTATCTTCAGGCGAGCCTACTGATGCGAGGGTAACATGAGCTTGCCATGATGTGGTTCCTGTACTTGGAGGTCCCCTTTTTGCAGGCTTTGGAATTATTGTAGGATGCGCATTTGCTTGGGACTAATTCTTTTCCAGTTTGCTTCAGGGGATGTTCTCAGCGCCCTTGTTGATATTTTTCCTTTTTTGGGAGGATCGAATATTGCAGTTTCATGGCGAGTTAAACATATCCCTCAAATCTGTTTTGAACGTGGTAACTTTTCAAGACACCGCTTCACGAGGAAACACAAAAGAGCAAGCTTTGCTTGGGGATTGGGCATGAACCTTCACCCAGTTCAATATTGGATCCTTGGGATCCAGTGCCAACTCGAGCGATCGGGTCCGGTTTCTCCAAGCGATCGGGGGCTTCGAAGGCTCCGCTTTGCGCTCGGCAACTCGAGGCCGTTGAAGTCGCATCGGCCGGCATTGGTTCGCCGGAACTGCGAAGAGGTCTGGGCAAATGTAGTGAGACACCGATTCGGGGGTACGAGCATAAACCCACGACAAATCGTGGATTTCAAGTTTTTGGCGGGTGACTTGTAGTAAATTTACCCAGAGGTACCGTTCACAGGTCCCTACCCCTGAGCCAAAGCTGGCTTGACTCTGCTGGCTGTCACGCCAGGAAAGCCCAAGTCGAAGCGGCAATGGAAGAAGATCAATGCAGATGAGATTCTGAATATCCAGCAGCTTGGCCAGGTCGTGTGGACAAATATATAGTCCTATTCCCTCGTATTCCTTCGGAAAAATGGGTTGAGATTAAGCTGACCTATGCAGTTAAGGTGGCTTTGGGCTCTCATGTGGTTGAGTGACAGGGTCATACAACTCGTAGCTTCGCGAATGTGAGACATGGAGGCGCTCAGACATGGATCAAGATCTCGCGCCCAATTTGCCACGTGGGAATGCGTCAAAGCAAAGTGAGTCTGCATGACTTTTGTGGGGAAGCTTTCAGAGGCGGCCACGTTTTGGGGCTCTTACTTCGACATGTTCCCACTTCAGACACCCAGATCTGAACTTGGCAGATTGAGTGCCGCGTATCCTTTGCGCAGAGTTTTTTGCTGGACTCGTGCGAGCGGTTTCATTTGGGCGCATCGGGGGCGACTGAGCCTAGGAATGCAACCCCAAACCAACCCTGAACCAAGCCTCAACCAACCCTAAACCAAGCCTCAACCAACCCTAAGCCAGCCCTAATTCAACCCTAAACCAACCCGAAACCAACCCTATAAAGCAACCCTAAACCAGCCCTAAACCAAGCCTCAACCAACCCTAAGCCAGCCCTAAACCAACCCTAAACCAACCCGAAACCAACCCTATAAAGCAACCCTAAACCAGCCCTAAACCAAGCCTCAACCAACCCCACACCAACCCCAATCCAACGCTCAGGTCCTACGAGGAGGTGCGAAAGGGCAATGAAAAAGGCAAAGGAAAGAATGAGAAGGGCAAGGGAAAAGGAAATGCCGGGCCCTCAGCGGGCTTTCTCCCGGAAATGTGGGTGCGGCGGGCGGAGCGCAATTGCGCTTGGTCCTTTGCCCGCCCCTGCTGTTGGTCAAATTGGACGCGTGACGTTCCCCCTGATTCAAGAAACAACCTGGGGTGGTTTGTTCCAAATTTGGGCAGAGGGTCCCCTAATTCGACTCGGTGGGAGAAATCGCTAGTGTGGTATTGGTATAGAATTGGCCTATTCTAATTGAATGTTGGGCCCTCTGGGGACAGAAAGGGAATGCTTGCAGGCAGCAAGTGGTTTTCAGCGATGTCGGGGTTTGCGGCGGCCGGCCCCTTGCTTTTGCAGGAAACGGGCTCCCCAGTCCTGTTGTTTTTTCTCCCAACCAAGCCTTGCCTTTTGTTAGAATTTCCCTCCAAGCTGGTTGGTCTTTCCCTCCACGGCACCCCACGCACCTGAGGGTAAAAGCATGCCGGACGAGGGGAAAGGCAAAGGAAAGGGAAAGCATTCGAGGCTGGAGATGAGCTGGACTTGATCGGGTTTCTGGAACACCATGCTTCTCCAAGCGCCTTTTTAGGGCACTTGTTTGGGTCTGTCTTTTTTGTGGGGTGTCCCCGTTTTCAGGGTTGGTTTAAAGGGAACCCGAAAGGACAACCGCCCGTTTCGGGGCTCCCTGTATTTTAAGAGACACTAACTTCCCACCTGTTCTGCGTGTTTTTGTAGGTTTGTATATGTGTGAGAGATCCTTTGACCCACAAGCCAACATGCCTAGCTGCCTGCTCGGGAAAGGGTCATTGCGACAGCTCACTTGGCTTCGCCATATTCTTGTAGACTTGAGACTGGGATTTGTGACCTATCCTGGAACCTGAAACAACCGTTTACAAAGGGTGGCTTCACAAACAATGAAGTTCTATGAGCTGCTCGTTGGAGAATGGGGCAGTTTAGGAGACCATTTCTGTAAATGCTTGATTCAGGCAGGATCCCACCTTTCTTTAATTCTTCTTCCGTTTTTTTTTCTTCTTCCTTTTTTTATTTATTATTATTATCATTTTCATACAAGCAACACAAGCACAAAGACAAAAAACAAGGAGCACACACGAGATTGTACTTCCAGGTCCTGGCAAGTGAGGCAAGCACTCCAAAAGCGACGTGGAGCTTGTTTTATGAGGAAATGGGTATGGGTCAAAAATAAACCAGTGTCCATGTTTTTAAACCAGTCAACATGGGTATGGGTATGGGGACCGCATGTTGTAGTCCATGTTTCCAGTTACCAGGGTTCCGTTTTGGGCGCCTATTTTTGACCCACAGCCAAATATGGACGTGTGACACAGTGGGACCTCTTCTTCCATTTGCTTTAGATTTGTTTGTATTTTATAAGCCCCCGGTTTTTCAGAGAATTTATCACTACTGGACATCTTAGTTTTTCCCTTTTCCAGGCGACTTAGGCAAATAAAGCGCAGTCTAGGAGCTTTTGTACGCATTTCTTTTGTCGCTGAAGGGATTGCTGCAAAAAGAAGGCTTGCATTCGTTTAGCTGTTGCTCTTCGTCGGGTCGCATTTTTTCCATTATTGCGCCTGAGTGGCAGAGGTGGTTTCCAATTTCATTTTTGGTACCCTAGATGGGTTCCTGGAAGGAAAACAAACAAAGGGGTCATGTGGCACAAATTCCGCCTCTGGGGCGGAAATACAACCTCACATCGCCTAACTCCATGTTTCGGGAAGCCCTTTCTTGAGCTGCGATTTGCAGGATGGACGAAGGACCACCAAGCGTAGAGGGGAGCCCAAAGGAGGGTGACACCGAGCAGAGGAGGGTGCTGAAAGGGATGGGAAAAGGGTTGAAGGAGTGATGATGATTCGAATTGCAACACGTCAGGGTTGGGGGAGCTTTGTTTCAGCGTGGCCAAAACGGTTGTTTGAACAAGCGTAGTTTCTTCGCACTGGGCCCACCCGTTTCTTTTTCTCCATTTCGCTCCCCCGGAACAAACGTCATGTTCCAAAACCCCTTTGGCCATTTTAGTACGTGGTTAAGCGACATCCCATTCTGCGCCCACCAAAAACAAGTTTCCCAACCAAGATGGTCCCTTTGCATAGTTTTGGGCGCGAAATCCAACGCCAATAGGAACAGCCGTGTGTCGGAATCCTCAATTTGAGGAAGCATGCAGCCGCGGGATCGTCATATGGGTCTATCTTCTTTGCGGGCACCCCTTTTCGAGTGGTTTTGAAGGGAAACCCAGAGGAATCCAAGTATCTTGGGGTTTCCCCATTTTAAGACAAGCGCCATCTACCACTGTTGCGATGCTTGTGAGATGTGCCTGGCAAGGGGGTTGCCGGTGTATTTCATTTATAGTGATGTGGGTGTGTCGTTTTGGTGGGGGTTCCCATCTTGGGTTCGTTGCAAGCGACCCCCAAAAGGAAAAGCAATTCCTTATTTTGACGCGTACCCATGTGCATAGACTTCCACCCCAGGCTGCCGGGACAACCGGCAGCTCTAAATCTATGTGGGTGGTGGATCCCGTGAAAGAGATCCGGATCATTTTTTTGGGATGGGCCCCGTGCGGCCTTTTAGGCAACCACTTGAGAAGAGCCTTGGATTCCCACACAACCCGCCCAGTAAGAGGGGGATGCGATCACGTGTGGCCAAAGGTTCGACGCCTCTCATCATTTTTAGTTGGGAGGGGGGGTAAGGTCAGAACATGGCGACTGGTTTCAACAACATTTGGGGGTGAGTCATTATTTGGAGTTTGGACTTTGGGGGTAAACTCATTTGGTTTGTTTCAACACATTTCCCTTCAGCCCACTTCCCACCACTTACCCTCCCTCCCACTAACATGGCAACTGACAAGGGGTCCCTTCACAAGGAATTTGGTCCAGGTACCTCCCCACAGGTGCCATGTTGCGAGGAGCTACCGGCCCGCGAAGGGCGGCGGCCGGCGCGCCTTTGAGCGCGACGGCAAGGGCAAGGGCCGGGGTCGCAAAGGCCGGGATCCAGGGGCTCAGGTATCTCCGTTTTTTTTTTTTTTTTTTTTTTTTTTTTCCGCAACAGCTGAAAGCTTTGGGGTCTCAGCCCAGATAGGCTCCGGGGTGGTCCGGGGCGGCCCTGAGGTAAGGTTCTACGAGGGTTCCACCAGAGGTTCTTTGCGGGGTGGTGCGAACACTAAAAAGATCACCGCGTGCTGTTGGGGATATCACCTGAGCTTTTTTTTTTTTTTTTAAATGAGATGCTGGGTGCTAAATACCCAAGATATGTTGATTTTCCCAACAGGACGCTGAAGGGGGATTGGCCATTTGTTCCTCCCAATTTTTCCAGACTCCCCATTCAACACCTGGGTAGCTGAATGGTGGGCCCCGTGCTACGGGGTTTCCACTTGTACAGCCAACTCAGGGACCATCGAAGCGGGTGGGCGTGGGGCTGCGGAGCATCTGATCATCTCGACCTCCAGGGACTCAACTGGTTTCTTGGGGAGGCGTGTTCCTTCACCAGACTGGTGGCCAGGTTTTTCTCTCAATTGGCGGTTTGGATTGGGGTCAAAAAGCCCCTGGCTCCTCGAATTACCCGGGTTCACCATTTCCGGAACACCGAACCACGAATCAGGGCGAAGCTGAGGTGGTGCCGTTTGTTTTCACCATGAACAATCAGCCAACAACCTTTTTTTGTGTGTGTTTCTTTTTCCCCCTTTTTTCCTCGTTTTTTAATACACAAGAACACTTTCCGAGGGTGGGACCTTGGGACTGACTCTGGACACCTATGGTTGATATCGGTGACCCATGAGTAAACCTGTCAGATTAGATGTAGGGTGTTTAATCCTGAACTCCCATGATGTTGCTGCTTTGTCCGAGAACCCACTCTGCGGCCAGATCATTCTCGCATGTCACTCCTGCTCTTTTGGTGCTGGAAGTCGTGGGCGTGTGTTTTGTTGAGCTTCGGTACCCTTTTCCAGTTTAAGGGAAACCAAACGTGGTGGCTCCCAGCTATCCCCTTAGCTTCTTAGCCTTGTAGTGTTTAGTGGTAGTTTTTGCATTTAACCCACTAAAAGTTAAACTTTTAGCGAGGGATCTGAGGGCCGCCCAGCAAACCACCATGTGTTGGAGCCCCTATTCTGACCCACGTTGCAAACGTCGCCTCTCGGTGTGGCAGGGCCCCTTTTAGGAGCGTCGAGAGCTCCTCTTCTGGTGGTTTGGCTCGTGTCGCAAGATACGCGCCAAAACGAGCGGCTTTGATTCCAACAACATCAACCCCACAAAGGGGCTGCTACCCCTCCCCCTCCCCCTCCCTCCCCCCCCCCCCCCGAAGAAGAAAACCTGAAAAGAAAGAAGAAAAAACCAACCACAAAAAAAACAACAAAGCAAACAAAACGAGTGGCTTTGATTCCAAAAGGCATTGCTCCTCACGAGTTTGCAACCGCACCGTTGAGATGGCACGCGCCTTTTGCCAGGCTTCCCATCGGCCGCAGCTGGTCCCGGCTTTACGGCTCGGCGGCTTAGAGATTCGGAGGCGAACTGGAGAAAAGGGCGTTGAGTGCGGCACTGGGGTGATGCTTTTCTGGTTATGGTATTTTTTGAGCCCGAGGGAAGGGCCATTTTTCTGGTGATGGTATTTTCCCCTGTTGCTTTTTGTTGTTCTTGTTCTGTGTGTGTGAGTTTTTTTTTTTGGGGGGGGGGAGCCCTTTTTAGGTTTATGCCCTATTTTTGAGACATACCCGTACGTGACCCGTATGAAACAACATGTTGGACATCACGGACGGTTCGCACGTCGCATGGCCAGTTTTCGGTCAAGGCCACATGACTCTGGCGGCCCCGCGATCTGTGCTCCCCAATAATTTTTGCAACTGAGGATCCCGTCTGGCGGGGGATGTTCATTTCAGCTCGTGTACTCATTTCTCTTATTAATATAGCAGTAGAGCCGGCAGCTGGTGGGCGGAAGTGTCAAATATAAGGACTGCAGTTATTTGTCTCTTCTTGTCTTCTGATTGTTCTTCATTTCTTGTTTGTTATCGTTCATTGTTTTCTTTCTTTCTTGCTGTCTTTCTTTCTTTCGTTGTTTCTTTCTTTCTTTCTTTCCTTCCTTCCTTCCTTCCTTTCTTTCTTCCTTCCTTCCTTCCTTCCTTCCTTCCTTCTTTCCTTTTGTTTTGTTGTCATCATTTTGTTTCATTTATTTCTTCCTTCTTTGTTGGTTTATCTTAACCGAGTTTCCTTCTTTCCTTCCTGCCTTTCTTTCTCTGCCTACCTATCTGCGTAGCTACGTGCGCCGGCCACGAGATCTGTAGCCGACTGGGGAAGCGCTGCGCCTGCCACGAAATCTGTATCCGACCAGTTGGGACCCGCCAATTCGCGCGGAGGGGCACTCTTTTTCGGGATTTCTTTTCTCGCACGCATTCATTCTTTCTCCGTGAGCAAGACTACCTTTCACTTCGTGTCCGTACTACGGAAGTTCCTTCTAAACTTTGGTTGGTCAGTATACAAATATACTATTTTCTGACTCTATGAATACATCAACGCATCAGTTGCAAGTTCGGGCCAGGTAGGGTGCCGCTTTGGGCACTGGTCAAGGTG